ACAGTTTTTTCTCCTCCAAACACCCCCCACTCACTCTGTCCTCTGGGTTCATGATCATAGAGTCAGCGAGCACTAGAACTGGAAGGGACCTGGAGAGGTCATCAGTCCAGTCCCCTGCCCTGACAGCAGGACCAAGCACCATCTAGACCTTCCCTGACATGTGTCTGTCTAACCTGCTCTAAAATATCTCCAGTGATGGAGATTCCACAACCTCCCTAGGCAACTTATTCCCGTGTTTCACCACCCTGACAGGTAGGAAGTTTTTTGATGATTTACACTGTCTGGGACCATTTTCCCTTGGCGGTAAGTCCAGATCCAGATGATTTACACTGGCTGGGATCATTTTCCCTTGGCGGTAAGTCCAGATCCACGCTGCAAGTTTCTCTTTCTTTCCCACAGCCAGACATGGCTTTGCCCTTTCATTCTGAAATAAACAATATTGAGAAGCTGTCGGGTAAACAAAGCCAGCAGAGCAACTGAGAAAAAGGTTCATTTCTAAATGTGGAATTGTACATTGACAAAATTCACTGAACATGCTAACTCTTATGAGCGACCAGAGCCAAATTCAAAGGTCCGTGTGGATGCAAATGTCACATATGCTGGCCCTTGCAATGTTCCTCTTACACCAGTATAGATTTTCTCTACTGTCCCTTACTTGTGCGCAACCCCGTTTACCAGAACATATTACCTACAAGCCTACCCATTGCTTTTGAATCTATCCCACAGATTCTTGCCCTGAATTGGTTACAATGTAAGTTTCCAGATCTGCACTTGGCTTACATTCAGTTCTTCAATCAATTCCAGATGGGCAGACATTTGTAACCCGTGCAAAGCCCCGTTGCTTTCCAGGAGGATCTGACCACAGGATCAGGGCCTAAACTCAGATGAATCACATTCCACACAGAGGACAGCGAGCTATTGCTAGACGTGGGAAAAGACATAACTCTCAGCCCAGAACAAAACTCCAGAGAAAAATCCCATTTGCTTTACTCTAGCCGCCTTGCAATCCTGGGAGGAAGAGATAATTAAGTCCAGACACGAAAAGAGAGGGAGGTCAACGAGGTGGAAAAGATACCAGGAGATTGTTCCAAAGGGTTGAAGCTGCAGAATTGGCTCTTGCATGCAGAGCAGAGACATTATGAAAAGGGATCCAGAGTGCACCACTGTCTGATACAGGGAAAAGAGGAAATTCCCTGAGGCCAGCTAGAACAAAACCTTGGGGGGAGGAGGAGATTCCAGAATGATGAGCCATATTCTACTCACATCACCGTGGAGTTAAGAACATAAGGGTATGTCTACACTGCCACCCTAGTTCGAACTAGGGTGGCTAATGTAGGCATTTGAAGTTGCAAATGAAGCCCGGGATTTAAATATCCCAGGCTTCATTTGCATCTTGCTGGGCGCCGCCATTTTTAAATCCCCGTTAGTGCGGACCTCGTTCTACGAGGAGTAACGGTAGTTCGAATTAGAGAGCCTAATTCGAACTACCTACTCCGTGCCGCGTGTAGCCGCAGGCACGGAGTCTGCACAAACAGGGATTTAAAAATGGCGGCGCCCGGCAAGATTTACTGGGGTGTGACTGAGAACTGAGACCAGATTGCAATTTGGACTATATATCTATGCAGGGGGATATGGAGAAGCACAAGGGATAGGTGGCCCCGTTGATTTAGGTCCATAGGTGTTAATGGATGCTTGTGTACTCACTTTCTCTCCAAAGCTGGTGGGAAGGGGAGGAGGTAGATACCTGGATCTGCCCCTCAGCGTGTTGTACTAGATGGCAGGGGTGAACAGGTATCATACTTTTCTGCTAGCACATCCCACAGCAAGGTGCAAGCAAGAGGTCACTGAGACACAGCTACTGTGAGCTCTCCTGAGAGCTACTCCTTGGGTGGAACGGCCTACGTACCATCACCAGCTCAGGAGGGACACACTCGATCCTTGAAAATGGCAGTCCCCAGCTGGATCTGGGAATGAATGACATTGGCCCACAGTATCACATGACTTCTCTAAAACGGTGTGCCCCACACATTGACAGAGGGCATGGTTAAAGAGTAAATCACAATTGTGAGCAAGAGGAACTGAGATGCACATGCAAGAGAGAACTGTCTTTTGCTCAGGCTTGAAGAGAGATGGAGAGCTAACAAGGAAGAGAAATGACAGATAGGCATCTGAATGACTTAGTGGATAGTAGAGATTAAATAGACACTAGGGCTGTGTCTATACTGGCAAGTTTTTCCTCAAAATCATCTGATTTTCCGGAAAAACTTGCCAGCTGTCTACACTGGCCGCTTGAATTTATTTCCGGAAAAGTATTGACTTCCTACTGTAAGAAATCAGCTGCTTTTCCAGAAAAACTATGCCGCTCCCGTTCGGGCAAAAGTCTTTTTCTGAAAGACTTTTGCCTGAAAGGGCCAGTGTAGACAGCATAGTTCTGTTTTCCGCAAAAAAGCCCTGATCATGAAAATGGCGATCGGGGCTTTTTTGCAGAAAAGCACGTCTACATTGACCATGGATGCTTTTCTGCAAAAAGTGCTTTTGTGGAAAAGCATCCTGCCAATCTAGACGTGCTTTTCCGAAAATGCTTTTAACGGAAAACCTTTCCGTTAAAAGCATTTCCGGAAAATCAAGCCAGTGTAGACGTAGCCTAGGAGAAGGGGGCTACATCCAGACTGCATCCCTCATTCGACAGAGGGATGCAAATCAAGTACATTGAAATTGTTAATGAAGCCAGGATTTAAATATCCTGCACTTCATTTGCATAAACATGGCTGCCGCTTTTTTTCGAAATTGATTTTTTTAAAAAAAAAAAGGCAGTCTAGACGTGGTTCTGTCAAAAATAAAGCCTTTTTCGACAGATCCTGTATTCCTCAAAAAATTAAGTTTACAGGATCTGTTGAAAAAGGGCTTGTTTTTGACAGATCTGCGTCTAGACTGACAGGTTTTTTTCCTCCAAAAAACTCCGTTTCGGAAAAAAGCAGCTGCCACATTTATGCTAATAAAGCGCAGGGTATTTAAATCCCGGCTTCATTAGCAATTTCGATGTGTCTAATCTACATCTCTCTGTTGACAGAGAGGTGTAGTCTAGACACACCCGGGGGGAGAAGCTATGGGTGTAATATGGCAGACCTAGACATACTGAGCCAGATCCTCACTGCTGTTAATAAGCTTGGCTCATTGAATTGACACCAAATTTCCAGCAATTTTGAATCAGACCCAGATTTAGCAGCCATTATCCTGAATTATAAACAGAGCTGGTAGTCTTGCCTATGATTACGGTTGCCTGATACTTATCATTCTAAGGCCCTGTTTTAAGTTGCTTATGCACTTACAACTTTGTCACGCTGTACCAATTTAGGCTGAAATTTTCCATGTCAGGTATCTCCTTTAGGCTGATTGGTGAGGGGGAGGGAGGGAATTTTCTGGAAAAAGAGGTTAGTAGAAAATACGTTAAAGAAAACTTCTTTCTGCTATTTCATTGACAAGCTCCATGCTTTGACGTGACATTTGGCACAGGGACATCCCAGAGCCATTCCTGTAAAACTCTGACCAAACTATAAACCTCAAAAAGTTCTCAGTTCTCAAATGCTCGTTAGAGACTTGTTAATATTTGCAAATTCCCCAAAGATTCTGTCTGTAGTGAGCACGCTCCATCCCCTCCTGGCCTCCTACAGGTGGCCAGACAGTTCATGCATCATTCCCACAAAATGACTGACCATGCTGCAGTTCACAGCTAAGCAGGACTTCCCATGGGACTGCTTCTCCTGGCTGTTGAGGGCCACAGTGGCAAGTCACTGGGACTTACAACAGGGAGCCTGTCTATCCCTGCTCCCAATGTTCCTCTGACCGGCACCGGGCACCAAGGAGGAGACCAAGAAGGTGAGAAACAAGGGGAAGGAATTACAGTCTCCAGTCGCAGGCCCTTTCATAGAATAATAGAGGCCTGGGCCACTTTGAGTTTAGCGGTCCCAGCCCAACCCCAATACCAGCCCCCGACGTATCTAACTTCTCATCCACAGGGTCACACTAAAACTAAAAGAATATATGAAGATAAACATTTGAGACATTTATTTATTAACGATTAAGTCATCATGCCATTAGCGTGTATATTAAAAATGTAACTTTAATTGTGAGCTTCCACTGCAAGGAAAACTCTTCATTTTAGGAATGCTTTTCTGGCTTTGTTGTGTGCAAACTCATTTATAGTCGAAGAAAAATCTAATTTGCGTGCAACATCACTGTTAATATTCAGCATTGCGAGCCCATTCCAACACTCTTGTCCCACGGTAGAACAATGAAAAGTTCTTTACTTGTTTTAACATGCTGAATGTGCATTCACCTGAAGCCACTGATGCAGGGATACTGACAAAATACATAATGCAATTGTGAGATTAGGAAATACAATTGACAGGCTGAGACTGAGTATTTCCTGAAGTAGTTCTTTTGGCCTGCAGTCTGATTTAAAGTTGGTGGAATGCATCCATTTCAGGAAGACTCTCTCGTCACAGAGATCTCTTGAAATTTCATTGTTGTACCTCTGTTGAAATTGTTCAGCTGCTGAATATAGATCTTCATCACTTAGTTCTCTGAACTCCCAAAGGGATCCAAATAGGGTACAAATTTGTTGCAGTGACTCAAATCAACATGTAAAATGTCAACAACACCCATTGACGTAATAAAGCCTTTCTTCATCAGATTGAGATGTTAGTCTGTGATTGGTGGAAAATTCAAATGAAATATCAATACCCTGTGCTGACTCAGTAAGGATTGCATCCTATTGATCACAAATCTTTTGAATATCTTTAAAAAGTCATTTAATCTTATCCCTCTCAACATTTAATATATAATTGAAGCATGCAATTACAAGATTAGTTTTGTGGATCATTTTTAGCAGCTTCATCCACATGGATGACATTAAAATGCATTAACATTTGGATGCATACTTCTGAATTGACTTAAGCTAACTCTAACCCTGTGCTGTGAGAGTAAGAGATTCAAGCTCACTTCAAGTTTCTCTCACAGAGTTCAAATGCTGTGCAACTGATTTAATGAAATCAATTAGTGCTGATCATCTCGTTA